TCGCGGAAGGTGTGTGGAGAACAGACTGTTAAAGGGGCATGTCTAGAGTGTTTATTTGCTTTGGGTTTGAGGGCTGCGATAGCAGCCATGGCCTGTATACAGGGAGGCCACCCCTTAGTCACCATGTCAAGTTGTTTTGATAGATAGGCTATGGGAGCCCAGCTGTCTCCGGCCCGCTGACATAGAAGCCCCAGGGCCTGTCCTTGTTTGGAATGTGCAAAGAGAAAGAATGGTCTGGTGTGATGCTCAAATTCATGTCCACTGAGTCAGTGATGCCATTCAACCACCCCCTCCTCTGTCATCCCCTTCTCCTCCTGCCCTCAATCTTTCCCAGCATCAGGGTATTTTCAAATAAGTCGGCTCTTTGCATCAGGTGGCCAAAGTATTGGAGCTTCAGGATCAGCATCAGTCCTTCCAATGAATATTCAGGATTGATTTTCTTTATAATTGACTGGTTTGATCTCCTTGCTATCCAAGGGACTCTCAAGAGTCTTGTCCAGCACCACAGTTTGAAAGGATCAATTCTTTGGGACTCCGCGTTCTTTATGGTCCAATTCTAACATCTGTACATGACTACTGGAAAAAAAATAGCTTTGACTAGATGGCCCTTTGTTGCAAAGTGATGTCTCTGCTTTGTCATACACCATCTAGGTCTGTCACAGCTTTTCTCCCAAGGAGCAAGTGTCGTTTAATTTCATGGCTGCAGTCACTGTCTGCAGTGATTTTGGAACACAAGAAAATAAAGTCTGTCACTGTTTCCATTTTTTTGCCATCTATTTGCCATGAAGCGATGGGACTGGATGCCATGATTTTAGTTTTTGGAATGTTGAGTTTTAAGCCTCATCTCCCTACTTCCCTCTTTTCCTGGGTGCTACCCAATACTGCATCTTCCACTATGCTCTTCAATGGACAACCAGGACTGGTTCCCATAACTCTAGTCCTGACCTTTCTGAGTTCCAAATTCATGTCTCCAGGTGTTTCCTGAATATTTTTGCACCCTTCTGTCCTCAAACTCAGTGTGTTCAAAATTATGTCATCTCTCCTTCCATGTATTTTACTCAGCTTCCTAAAAGTATCATCACTTTTCCATTAACTTCACAGCTTCGGTTACCTGACTCCTCCTCTACCTTTACCTAGTCCTACTGGTTTTTAAACAATTCTTTATGTTCCTTTTTCCTGTGGTCCCCCAAAACACCACCAGAAACTAGGTTTTCATCACCCTCTCAAACTAGATTTTCATCCATCTCCCCATCTCCAACTCATCTTCTTTCTTAAATGTCTACATCGTGTTAATCTGTTATTCAAAAATCTCTTACTTTTCTTTATTAAATCCCACAACTAGAGTAAACATCCTCCACCTGCTCACAGCCTGACTGCTTCCAATGCTGATTCAAGTCCACTCTCTTCAACCAAGCTCTCTGTTAATGTTCTTGGATTTACTATCTACACACTATGATTTTTGCTGCTCAACTGTCAGATGTTTTATAAGCTAGCCTTTTAATGTGCCTATCTTCCTGGTATGGCTGTAGGAACCACATCTTACATGTTCACTGCTTCTGAAACTTACCTAATAACTATATTACATTATTTTAAAAATGAGGCCCAGTGATAAGAAGAGTATGACTAAGAAGTAGAAAATCCTGAGTTTAAATCCTGGCTCTGTTCCTTTTTAGGTGGGTGACCTTTGGCAAGTTACTTAACTTCTAGAAGCTTTCACATCTATAAAACAGAGATAATGCCACCTATTTCACAAGGCTCTAATGAAATGTAATGTGTACATGGGTATGTATACACACACATACAAACACACCATGTCTAACACAGTATTTGGTACATAGTGAGTGGGTTTTTTTTTTAAATAGATGGCTATTAGTGACTTTCACCCCATAGGTACTCCTCTTTGGTCAATATTTTAAACTGCAAGTGAAGTGAAGTGTCAGCCACTCAGTTGTATCTGACTCTTTCCAACCTCATGGACTGTAGCCTGCCAGGCTCCTCTGTCTGTGGGATTTCTCAGGCAAGAATACTGGAGTGTGTTGCCATTCCCTTCTCCTGGGGATCATCCTGACCCAGGGATCGAACTCTGGTCTCCTCATTGCAGGCAGATTCTTTACTGTCTGAGCAAACTAGGGAAGCCCTTTAAACTGCAAAGGTCATGTTAAATATTTTTTTGTAACACGCTGTCAAGATTCCGTTGCATGTGAAGTTTTATACTACTCATCACTATATTTAGCCAAAAATTACTTTTCTAAGCTACATTCTAGAAGAGTAAGAAAGATAACTTTTAACTTTTAAGCTGTGCCCAGATGCCAAAACTTGGGGTGTGAAACTATACAATCAGTTTCATTTCACATACATAACCCAATCCAGCATGATTTTCAGCAACCACCATTTCTTAAATACAGTTAAAGAAGCACTCAAGAATCTTTGGGAAGGCTAGAGTTTGTAAGATAGGATTGCTACAGCCTGTCAACAACCAGAGCTTAATGATTAGTGACCATGAGCAGCTTCTCTGGGAAGAAGGGGATAAGCTTCTCCTCAACCAACAGGTTAATTACTGACTCTAATTAATGGCTTTAAAAGACATAATGAAAATGCTGTAATCCAGTACATTAAAACCTGAAGAATGGATCTTCTGTTGGTTGAGGTGATCTTTTTTTTTTTATTCCTAATGAAACATACAGTCCTTTCTCCTTTGTGCAGTAGGTCACAGCTTTCGCTAGGTTAAGTCATACAGTATTTTTTTTTAAAGTACTTCTCTAAGGTTCCAGAAACTTTCCATCAACAGTATCTGTAATCTTGCAGGAGAGGCTGCCTGGAGCAGAGCAAGTTAATGCCACTGTCTCCTTTTGTCCTGACTTGGGCCTCCCACAATGACGAGCAGCCACAGGGCAAGTGTCTCTCTACATCACTACCCACAGTACCTCCTTTCCAAGACCCCTCAGTATTTCTGCACTCCTGGGCAGGGAAATCGCATGACCTTATTGCAGAAATTAGACAAGCAAGAATTTCATCACTGCTCTCTTCTGAGTCTTCAATTTTCTGATGAGATCTTTGAAAAACAAAGGATAAATTACACTTTAGCTTTAGCTGCTCAAATTTATTCACTGAGTTATGGGGAATACAGGGTAAATAGTAGCATTATTGCTTCATATGTTAGTGAAAGTAACCTATGTGAGTAACATGGGGACAATAATACCATAGGAACACAACTTGTGACAGGCCAACAATTTCTTCAAAATCAATCAGCAAGAACCTCTTTCCCACACATCAATTAAATCCTGAGGACTGTTACTGTTCTTCAAATGAATTGAAGAATAATCCTGACACATCAAGTTTTCTAACAGAGAATAAGCAGAGGGTGAATATAATGTGGTTAAGTATTGAAATTCCTGGTCAATCTAAAGTAAATCCAGATTCTGAAAATAAGAAACATGAATTTTCTGCTATATCTGAGTTCCAGCCAAAACAAATTTATAAGGAAGTAGTCTATTATAAGTTTTTCCTGTGGCAGGTATTGTATGGATCAAACTAGCAGAAGCACTTTGCTCTGTTTTATGAGACCACAGCCCAGTTGAGAAGAAAACTATGCATGTGTTAAATAACTAGGGAGACAAACAACATTTACACAGTGTGATATCAGTTTGTTCAGAAAAATCACCTTCCTAATGTAATTCATGAAAAATTTTCACCATACAAATGTACATTGCTAACCCATAAAATCTACTTCAAACAAACCTTATAAAAATTACATTTCTTTTTGCTGACTTGGTCAAAGGGAAAAACACTGACTAATGCCAACTGAATATATGGAATGGTCTCCCAGATCTATTTCCACAAGCAATTCCTTTCAGCACCTTCTGTAGACTGGGAGGGGGTTGGTGGTAATTGCTCTGCAGATCAGCACCACGGCACCACAGTCCACTGATGGATTTCAATCTCAGAAACTGCAGTGGGCCAGCCTAAGCACAAGCCTTGTGGAGCAGAAGGGCTTCTCCTGGATCCTAAGAAAGCTAGGAAGAGGCTCTTTGAGAAAGGAAAAGCAGTCGGATCAGTTCTGACACTGGCTTCTAGTTTCTGTAAATGTTACTAAACCCTTTCAAAGGAAAAATGTCCCACCCTTCAGGTCAGAGGAATGAATTACTAACTACCACCTTCACAAAAACTGCATGTCACAGGTATGGAGCAGTGTGGGCATGCTGTCCAGTAACTTAATTCTTGGTGCAGCAAAGCCTCTGAAACATGACCTTGATAATGAACATTTCAAAGAATAAGCCTTATTATTTTTTTAAGCTCTATTATTAAAATGACCTACTTACAAGGTTTCCATGCACATGAAATGACACTGAGAAGAGACTGGAAACCTTTATAACCTAAGCCACCAAAGCAGGTTTATAAGATTATGCTGGGGCGACAGAACAGATCTGAGAGGAAATTAGGAGCTGAGAACGTTAGACACAAGAGCAACACCAAGGATTTTCAAGGCCCTGTCGTTGTCTGTGGTGAAGTGTGCCTGGTGGTGTCGTCTCTTGCTCAGCCCCCAGCAGACACCTGAGAGCCGTCTTCCAGCCCATTTCCCATTTTTATCCCCTCAATTACCACAATCTATACTCAGAACTCTCAAGTCTTTCTCTAGTCGCTGAATCTTCCCTGAGATCACCCTGTGCTTCCATCTGTCTTCAATATGGCTCTAGGTGGTAATCTCAGAATACTGTTTTCACTCACATAGGGATCTTACAAGGCCCTCAGACTCAACATAACTTCCGGTGACCTTCTCCTGGCTCCTGCCCTCCGTGGTACACCAGCGCCTCTCACCACTCGGCTTCACATCACCCTGTGGCCGTTCCATCTTTCCAGTCACCACATCCTCCTCTACTCTGCTTTCCTCCCCACAAGCCTCTGGGAGGCTCTCACCTCCACAACATACTTTAACCAGCTTCTAACCAGCTTGTCTCTGCTTCTCCTCTAGTATCTTATCTTCTGTTGATGCCAGGGTTCTCCTACAACCACGATCTGGTCCTGCTCTTCTCCAGACCCACACCTTCAGGGACTCTCCCACTGCCTACCTGAAAATTCAGAAGACTTCCTGTCTGCTGAGGAGCCCCAGGTCCACCCTGCTCCCACAAGGACCTGCATGGCACCTGGCGCAGAGGAGTGATGTGGGAGACAGGCAAATGAGAAGGGGGATGGAAGAGAGAAGGGCGATGCTCCCCCACTCGGCTTCCCTCCTCGTCACTAGTGCCCCTGCCCAGCTTGATGCCAAAAGGCCCAGAAATACCAGACTCCTTTTCCCTAGTAAATGTATTTTTGCAAAATAAGATAAATTCTATTTGTTTTACAAAGTAAATGCCCATCTGTGCAACCTAGTGACAGTAAAGTTCTCATATATCGGATCAAAACAGATGATGAACAGAAGGGGCATGGGAGAATAAAGAAAGAACCACCTGTAACATGAATAAAGGAAGAAATACCTATACTGAGGGAAAGCTGTACTTGCATCTTAAGGGCACTGTGCTACTCAGTAAACAAGGGAGGAAAAGAGAAACTCTGGAGAGAGAGGACAACAGAGAAACCCTGGTTGGACTCAGCAGTAATGGCAGTGACAAGGTGATGAAAGAAAGAGAAAAGGAAGTGACCCTTAGAAGGGAGACCCATCCCTAAGGGTCTGTGCCAGCAGAAAGCTCTGACCCAACTGGAGTCCCTTTTTTGATTTCCTAAGGCCACTTCTCAAGGTCCCTGCCTGGCAAGAGTGCAAGCCTGATCCCATGATCCTCCAAGGGAAATGGCGAATCCTAGTGCTCTGGGCAATACAATACAATGGGAAAGACTAGAGATTTCTTCAAGAAGATCGGAGATATAAAGGGAACATTACATGCTAGGATGGGCACGATAAAGGATAGATACGGTAAGGACCTAACAGAAGCAGAATAGATTAAAAAGAGGTAGCCAGAGGGCATGGAAGCAATCTATATGTCCAACCAACCTAGATGGACAGATGAATAAATTAAGTAGTCGCAGTACATATATACAATGGAAATCAACCCTGAATATTCACTGAAGGACTGATGCTAAAGCTGAAGCTCCAATACTTTGGCTACCTGATGTGAAAAGCCAACTCATTGAAAAAGACGCTGCTGCTGGGAAAGATGGAAGGCAAAAGAAGAAGGGGGCAGTGGAGGATGAGACGGTTAGATGTCATCACTGACTCAATGGACATGAGTTTGAGCAAACTCCAGGAGATAGTGAATAACAGGGAAGCCTGTGCTGCAGTCCATGGCACTGCAAAGACTCGAACATGACTTAGTGACTGAACAACAACAAAAGTGCTATGGGCAGATGTCTCTGTAAGTTTGAGAGGTCTACAATAACTGAGAGTGCCGTTGTCAGGACACAGGAATGGCAAAAGTCAGTGCTCCTCTAGCTTGTCCCTCTAACCATCCAACAGGACACATTATCATTCCATTCAATCCACACTAAAAACAAAACAAATGCCTGCCCTCTCTGCAGGCTTCTCTACCTTAATTACAGGTAACTCCACCCTCCTAGTTAGAAGTCACCTTTGATCACTTCCTCCTTATGGTCTCTTCACTGTATCCATCCCCGAATACTATCAGCTCCGTCTTTGAGGCATCTCTCCCTTTGGAACATTCTCTCCACCTCTACTCCAACCGCTGCTGCCCAAGCCATAAGATCTCTTACCTACAGCCAGAGTGGTCTTGTTAGCATGGAAGTTAGATCATGGTCCTCCTCTGCTCAAAACCCTCAAATGACTCCCCAACATTCTTGGAATGAAGTCAAAGTCTCCACAGTGCTGCCATCTCCCGCTCTCTTTAGTACAGACTTGGCGACAGTTTCCAACCTGGATAACTATTTGAAAATTATCTACACAATTCACACTGCAGCAGAGAAGAAGTGGAAAATTCCCCACCCCAAGAGATCTCCCAACACAAACTGTCAGCTTTGACAGGGCTAAACAGTCAGTGGTGTTGAGTTTCAACAATAAGCCTTAGGTAGCAGTGAACGAGAGACATTACCTGGATAACAGAATTTGTTTTACATCAGTTAGGTTTAGCACAATTTCTAGAAACTTGAGTTTAACTGATAACCCTACAGAGGTTTCCAGAACACTCTTGGTGAAAATTCCTTCATGAGAATTAGTGTAATGGGTTTCCAATTAAGTCTTTTCAAATGAAGTTTTTCAAAATGAAGCTACCATAAACCTTCCATGTAAGAGATAAAACCCACATACTTTACTGAGGTTTTCACCAAAATACTTGTGCCTCAAGGTTCAAGTGCAACCAGTATCATCTTGGAGTTGGAAAACTCTACTTTCTTTTCAACAATGGAAGAGGTTTCCTGGAATTTCAGGATGTAAAGCTGAAAGTATTTCTTACAGAAATATTTCCTAATAATACCACTTTACATTTGTATATTGCTGCTCCTGCTGTTAAGTCACTTTAGTCGTGTCCGGCTCTGTGCGACCCACACAAGTCCTATCTATATCTATCTCAATATTACATAGCATGTTCACTGAGCTGCCAGGAGCTACCAGTCCACACATAACACGGTTCCTAGAGGAAAATGTGTTAAATGCATCCAACAGCCATAAATAGACAAAGGTTTGGAGTCTAGTGGTTCAAGAGGTGTAGACCATGAATAATTGGCACATGCTAATCCGGTAGAGGTGTCACGCATGACCTTCCATGCACACGTGAGCCAGGACTATCTTGGACATGGATGTGTTGCACCCCACAGAGGACGCTAACAATGTAGACATGGCCTCAGTCAGTTTCTATGTTAAGTTGCCATGAGTGCTGCCCCAGGGCCTGTCATTAGCTTCTGAGTGCTTCTTTTTTTTTTTTTTCTTAACTAATATGTAAGATTGTCTCCCCAATTAATTTTAATTTTTTCATTTATTTTTATTAGTTGGAGGCTAATTACTTTACAATATTGTAGTGATTTTTGTCATGCATTGACATGAATCAGCCATGGATTTACATGTGTTCCCCATCCTGAAACCCCCTCCCACCTCCCTCCCCATCCCATCCCTCTGGCTCATCCCAGTGCATCCAACTTGGACTGGAGATCTGTTTCACACTTGATAATATACATGTTTCGATGCTGTTCTCTCAGATCATCCCACCCTCGCCTTCTCCCATAGAGTCCAAGAGTCTGTTCTATACATCTGTGTCTCTTTTTCTGTCTTGCATATAGGGTTATTGTTACAATCTTTCTAAATTTCATATATATATGTGTTAGTATACTGTATTGGTGTTTATCTTTCTGGCTTACTCCACACTGAGTGCTTCTTATATACACACTACACATCAGCTTTCGCCTTAAACAGACAATCTAGACTGGGACTTAATGAAGGTGGGGAACATATCTGTCTCCAAATCAGAATTCTGTCAGAAGAGGAGGGTGGTCCTGAGGAACTGGGGCAGGCGTGTCCCTACCTCCCACCCCAAGCCAGGCTGCTGCTGCCCCACCCTATTTGGAAGAAGCTGAGGAAAAGCCAGGTTTTAGCACGAATCTCAGATGACCCCAGTGAGAGGCTGGTGAAATTCTAGGGCATGAAACAAACCAGAACCAAGACAAACTATACAGGAATCTTTCAAACATGATCCCACAATGAACAGAAGATGCACAGTACACCCATATATGAAAAACAAAACCTACAGACTATTTAGTGGGCTTAGAAAAATCCATCTTTGAAATACTCTGCCAACACAAGCAAGAGTCACTTAGCCTGATCTGTGATTCAGAGGCATCTTGGGAGAAGTGATATCCAAGGTGAGGTTCTGATGGAAAAGGAGTGGCCCTGGAACTTGGCAGGATGACCAGCACAGGGAAGTGGGAAATGGTGAGAGGCAAAGCCAAGGCCAGGACAGTCAGGGCACGTCTGCTACTGCTAATGACTTTGGGTATTATGCTGAGGCGTTTGGCTGTAAAGCAAACAGGATGGAAGCGAAAGTAAGGAGAACATGGACAGAGGGTGAGGAACTGAGACAGCAGGTACGGGAAGTCAGCAAGTAGGGGCAGGACCCGCAGCCCGGGCAGGAGAGCAAGTCTGGAGCAGAAGGAGGGACTCATTCCAACATGTCGGGAAGCAATGACAGGTCAGCTGACAACGCCAGAATCCACCTTCTCCTGGACAACCCAGAGTCCATTCCATCCTTGTTGAATGTCAGGCAACAAAAAGCATTAGGGACGTTTTTCTTTTTTCAGAAATGTTTCCTGGGCCAGATTTAGTTTTTTTCCTAAGAAACCATTGCCACCAAGTCCTTGACACCACAACAGAATGTTCTTCAAGGGGCACAGAGTCAATCTCTACCACATCCAACACCTACAGACCCCAAGAGGATATCTGACACTCAAGTACAATCCCACCTAGATCTTCCTATAACACCTATAACCAGATAGGTTTATTTTGCTTAACAAAGCAAATTCCTATAACAAAAAGAAAAATTGGGATGGTGGTTGTGTGACAACTGGATTTTATTTTTTTGAGATCACTGATATCATGAATACAAATACCTATTCAAACTTCTCAAGAGAAGATGACTTTTCATAGCATCAGGCTACTAGTTATGCTTATAGAGGAAATTTACCAAACAGGAAAAGTTGTGAATGTAAGAGGTTTCATTAAGGGTCCAGGACATATAGTTACACATTCATCTAAAACTGAATAAAATATTACTGATGTCACTTTTTTACACTGAAGATTTGGGAACTAATGTTTACTATTTAATTAAACAGCTACATTTCAAATGCTGGCCCAAGTAAGCCTAAAAGTTGAATTTTTGTTAAAATTCCTGTACTATTCCTAAACTGATATACTCTGAAAGAGATAAGCAGTCTGTTTCTACACCTGGAGCAAGTCTTATCTGTAAACAATGGAAATTTTGGAGGACTTAGTATTTCCTTAAGAGAGGGAGTGATGAGTAATAACAAAGACTGAGACCAGCTGATTTCATAGCATTTTTTATACAAACAATTTAGTGATAAATGAAAATTTTTTTTACCTACAACCCTAATACAAAACTTATGCCAAGTTTCATCATGAAAAAAATTTTGAGAGATACTCAAAAAAGGTTTGTTTACTCATCCAGTATTCCGTCCTCTCCAAGGATCACAAAATGAGAATCTAATCAGAAAAAGTCAAGAATACAAAGTACAGTTTTGGGAAGCAGGAATGCAGACTTGCAGTTGATCTTTCTACTTATAAGATGTTAATCTGGCACCATCTCAGGAATTAAGGATGCCAATGGATTTCTCATGGTGCTTAAACGTGTCAGATGAAAAAGGACAAGTTAGGCAGGATAAGGAAAATAAAGGGATCAGAGGTGATGCAGGAGTTTGTGGTGGTGCTGTTATTGTATAATAAAGTCCTCAGAGAAGACAGGGATCTGAATTAAGGGAGTCATCACTGTGGAGCTGATATTAAAAATATGACTGAGTGATGGTGCATCCAGAGAGACAGCAGAAAAAAGAAGACTGAGCTCCAGACACTCCCTGCTTAGAGGTCAATGTTTCCAAACATGGTTTTTATATTATGCAGGTATAGTGAGGGCAACAGGGCAGGAGATGACAGCCATAGAAGTGACTGGTCAATAGGGAGAAGTAATATCTAAATAATATTGAATCTTCTAATCCATGAACATGAATAGATCCCCTACTTAATTCCTGATTTTTTACAATCAGGCTTATGAAGTGTGTGACATACAGGTCTTACACACTTTCTTAAGACTTGCATCCAAGCATTTCATAGGTTCTTTTTTGTGCCAGTACAGAGAAATGTGATTCTGTACATTGATCTTATAGCCTGTGATCTTGCTAAACCATTTATTAGGTCTAGTGGGTTTCTTGTGGATTCCTTGGGATCTTCTATGTATATAATTTATGTTTATAATTAGGTCATCTACAAAGAAAGATGGCTTCAGTTTTTTTCCTTCTAACCTGTATACCTTTTCTTTCTTTGTCTGGCCTTACTGCAATGGCTCATGTTGGAAACAGTGATAAAAGGCAATATATTAGCCTTGTTCGCAGTCTTAGTGGAAAAGTATTCAGTCTTTTGCTATTAAGTATAATGCAAGCTATATGTTTTATGTAAGGTTATACCAGATTGAAGAAATTCCCTTATATTCTTAGTTTTCTGAAAAATTTTTATCATGAATGTTGAATTTTTAAAGATGCTTTCATGCATCTGCAGAGTTTGTCATATACTTTTGGTTTTCATTTTTGGACTGGATATGGTGGATTATACTGTGATTTTTAGATGTTGAATCACCATTATATTCCTGGGATAAATATCATTTTATGATGTATTATCATTTTTATATATTGCCAGATCCCATTCAGTAGTATTTGTTACAGTTTTCATGTTTACACTCAGTTTCTTTTTCTTTGTCATAATAACACTGGTCTCATAAAAGGTCTTCCATTACTTACATATATTTGATCATCTCTTACAAGGCTTTAGCACAGTTACTAACACAAACCTGAGGGTACATAAATGTTGTTAAGTAAGTCACTCAGTGGAGAGTTTTTGTGACAAGGGTGTATCTTTTCCTAGACTCTCTATTTCCTGTCCCTTTTCCTTACATGAGAACTAAGAGGAGCAAATTCAGTTGCCTAGAAAATCCCTTTCCAGATATAAATGCTTATGAAGCTAAATTTACAGAATTTCAGAAGTGTCAGCCAAGTGGGACAGGTATCATGCTCAATAAAATCTTTATGTCCTGATAAAATTAATCTGGCTTCTTTACATAGTATTTTGAGACTGTGATTTAATTAACCTTCACATTCCCTGTCACTTAGCGGAGCTATTTCTGTAAGACTAATGTCATAGAACAGTAGATTTCAACCTTGGTGTGACTCAGCCTCTTCTTAAAAAAAAAAAAAATACTGAAAAAAAAAACGTGAAAACATGTCTTCTCTCTCTAACAAAAACTCAATTCAGTAGATCTCAGGTTATATCTGTTTAATTTTTAAGGTATCATGGTTGCAAACCATGGTTTGCTTTCTGCCCTCAGTTCACGTTGCTGCCACCAAGTACAGAGGCCTGCCCTTTGGGCAAGTTACACAATATTAATAGTTCCTCGTCTGTAAAATCAGAACAGCTCCAAAAGTTGTAAGCATTAAATAAGTCACATGTAAAATGCTCAGAATGTGCTAAGTACATATAAGTGTTAACTATTACTACTATTTTTTAAAAATTATTATTGTCATCGTAGGTTAGGTTAGCCCAAGCCATTTGTTTCCCATTTTTAAATAGTTGCGTGCTGTGCTCAGTCACTCAGTTGTGTCTGACTCTTGGTGACTCCATGGACTGTAGCTCACCAGACTCCTCTGTCCGTGGGATTCTCCAGGCAAGAACACTGGAGTTGGTTGCCATTCCCTTCTCCAGGGGATCTTTTTGACCCAGGGATCAAACCGACATCTCCTGTGGTTCCTGCATTGGCAGGCGGATTCTTTACCGCTGAACCACCTGGGAAGGCCATCTTATTAGAGTGGGGGGTCCCCTTTAGCAGAGAAATAGATCAAAGACACATAAACTCTGTACCTGTTGGGCAAATATACGACCAAAATAGTACCATGAATTCAAGTAAATTGTATCTTACTTATTTTAGCAGCATCTATATACAGTTAAGCCATTCTCTTTATTCAATACAAAGATAATGCTTGGCTTCCCTGTAGATTTTCAGACCCCTGTAATCAATCTGAGCCTGCTCCCCACTCCTCTTAAGGTTTTGAGTTTCACTGGTTGTGACCTATTGCTCCAGACATGTCAAGCTGCCTTGGATTATCTTAACATGCCACCCATCTTCCTGACTTCCTGCTTTCCTTACTGTACCATCTACCTCAAACACCCACCTGTCTGCTTCTCTGTTTAGAACATGGAGTCATGAATGTCAACAAAATCCTCTTAACCCACTGGCCTGAGCTTTCCCTACAGTTGATTAGTGAGGAATTGAATGTGCCATCCAATTAAGTGCTCTGCTCACTAACAGGAACAATGAACAGGCATGATTTTTTAAAGAGTATAGAGGGAAGGTCAGGGAGAGAGAGCAGAGGGCAGGTGAATGAATGGAGGTCTGTGGGCCTCAGGAGCATCAGAATGCCAGCACACATCCAGGAGGGCACATTGGCCAGGACCACAGTGCACTGATCAAGCCCAGAGAGACAGATCCAACGCCAGGCCCTGGCTCCACAATAACAGTTCACCCAAGTTACACTCCAGGGTCACTAGGCAAGATCAGTGGGCATGGGAAAGTGCTACCCTGACAGGAGAGCCCGGGGTCAAGGGCCCATAGCACTCACCATGTCCCCAAAGGCTATCTTGCTGAGGAGAAAGGAGAGGGCACAGACTGAACCATTTTAACAAACTATGCTCAGCAGCTAATCAAAGAAATATTTAAAAATTTCCTTGCTAGAATAATTTTACTCGATTAGGCTAAAATTATGGGGATTCAGTTTTCCTTCTTTCTGGCAATGCACCAGGACAGAGGCTCATGTGGAGAGCAAACAACGGATCGCTTAGAGAAAAATAGTTATATTTTTCTTTACCTGCCTGAGTGCTGCTGCTGCTAAGTCGTTTCAGTTGTGTCCGACTCTGTGCGACCCCATAGACGGCGGCCTACAAGGCACCTCCGTCTCTGGTGCAGTATGATTTAAATTTTAGAATCCTCTATGATTCTTTTAGCAGCAGCATAAATGTTAAAGTGAAAGAAAGTGAAAGTGAAGTCGCTCAGTCGTGTCCGACTCCTTGCAGCCCTGTGGACTGTAGCTTACCAGGCTCCTCCGTCCATGGGATTTTCCAGGCAAGAGTACTGGAGTGGGTTGCCACTTCCTTCTCCAAGGGATCTTCCCAACCCAGGGATCAAACCTAGGTCTCCTGCATTGTGGGCAGATGCTTCATCACCTGAGCAATCAGGGAAGCCTGCATAAATGTTAACTGACCTGTAATTGATAGAATACAGTTTTATGTATCACAGACTCAATTATTCAGAGCACCACCACTCCCACCCCTGGGCAAGCTGGGAGGGCTGTAACACAAGTCATTGGATTAAAACAGCCAAGTTCCCACGCAGCCTAAATTCTCCAATGGGTCAGTGTTAAGAGAGAAATGTGTCTTACTCGTCCTGAAGGAATTATTAGGCTGCCTTTCCCTACACTGTGACTTCAGTATTCCTAAGCTCCCCCCATCACTTTTCCTCCCCCCACACCAATAAAAAAAGAGTTAGAAAAAAGTACATTCTGGATGACTTGATTTGGCTTTCAGTTTGAATAATTACCACAGTTGTTCTTTCTTCCCCCAGGGATTACCCTTGACAACAAATGCACTCACTTCTTCCAAATGATCTACTCAGCTTAGATATAAAAGTTATTTTGTATAGAAGAGGAATTTTGTTTCTTCACATTAGCCTAAAATTCTGCAAGAGCTCCATTTTCCTTCCTGATTTAAACATTTTATTTTAAATGGAAAAAAATCTTTTTTTTTCCTTTTAAAAAATGCATCCTTAAAGAACAGAATTGTATTTACAAAGAGACAGGAAGTAGTTTCCTCATATAGTGTTAAAGGGATTAGACAGAAGTCAGCAAATTAGAGGGACTCCAGTGTGGAATTGCACAGGTAGAACTTTGCAGCCTTCAGATATCAAAAAGGCTATTAAAAGAACCACAGGACTGGATTTTCAGCTTGTGAACAGACAATGTAAGTTAATGAGGCAAGAGGACTTTAGAGGGCATTTCACTAGAATGGGTAAAAATGAATGATCGGGATGGGGAATACATGTAAATCCATGGCTGATTCATGTCAATGTATGGCAAAACCCACTACAATATTGTAAAGTAACTAGCCTCCAACTAATAAAAATAAATGGAAAAAAAAAGAATGGATAATATAGTGAAATGGATACCATAGGACCAAGAATGACATAGAAGAATGGAAAAAAAAATTGATACAAACAGTGAGAGCAGTAAAGTACTAAAAGTGAGGACTTCCCTGTTGGCTCAGATGGTAATGAATCTGCCTACAATATGGGAGACTCAGGTTCGATCCCTGGGTCGAGAAGATCTCCTGGAGAAGGGCATGCAACCCACTTCAGTATTCTTGCCTGGAGAATTCCATGGACAGAGGGGCTGGTGGGCTACAGTCCATGGGGTCAGAAAGAGTCGGACGCGACTGAACGACTAACACACTATACTACACAAGGCTGCCACAGACTGCAGACACCACGGAAGCTCTGTGGTCAAGGCAGGACTTGGGCTCCCCCTTGAGGGGTGGGAAGAACCTGACCAGACAAGGAAAGAGCAGAACTTCACAAGGGCGCGAGGGAATAAACAGCTGAGGGATTTAGGCTACAATGAATGGACATCACCAGATTGGAACAGAAGTTATGCTGGGATCATATGCACTGAACCTTAGGAAGGGCTGTGACAACACAGCTGGAAGAGGATGATGTTCCTGGACACCTTCCTTTTCTCTGACCATAGTTGATTCTAGGTTACAAAAATTAGGCCCAAAACATTTTACCAGAGCTTAGAAGTTTGCTTATAACTCTAGTACAGAGAAAAAAAAGATATATTATCTCTAGAAGAGACTTGTGGTAGGTTCAGTAATTTTATCTTTTCATAGTTTGTACTTATGATATGGGATTAAACAGGTCTATAGCTCTCCACTGCCAATTTTCCCAGGGGAATTACCACTCCCAAATGTACACAATCACACCAGGAGAAAAAGAATGTGCTGACAAGGCATGCTACAGTGACTGTCAACTCCACAGGCACGGCACTATGATGGTGACTGGAGTGACAAAAGACTGCATGTAGTATGCAGTTAATATTAGGAACCAAATTTTTTCAAAGAGTTTCATTTTTAGAACCTGCATCAGACTTAGGGTTTCCCTGTAACAAGGTCCTCTCACTGGCATGTCAATCTGCTTTCTCAGTGGGGAGAAAGGAGTGGAGCTAACCATGAGGACTGCTTGCAAGTTTACTGCAGACCCCCTAATGCCCCCATTACTCTCGGTACACCCATAAGGACTGCACACACTTCTGAATTCAGCAGAGGAAATGGTTAAGAAGAGCTGCCAGAGAATCTCAGTCCATGGAATCACAGAAAGTCACAGCCACCTCTAGCTTACTTAGAAAGCTTTTTAAAATTTATTGAAATGTTCCTTGACTTTTCCTGGGAAACTTCTGGCCTATATTAAAAGTATATTACATTAGGAAACATTTTCTGTACTTAGTCGAATGATGCATTCTATTTGAATTTGCTTTACCATGACAAGGTCCTCTATGAACAGTGGCAGTGCCAGTGACACTGAATTCATAACCATTTCAGAGTCAGTCTAACATGTTTATAGCTTCTGATTATCACATCTCAGAAGGGAAGCTAGAATGACCCCCATAACTCCTAGGCACACACTCTAGCAGGTGTTAACAGCATGGGTGTAACAGCCAGCCAGACATGGGATGTGCCACACACCACGTGTGTGACTTTAGATAGGTTACCTGATCTGTATGCCTCAGTTTCCTCACTTCAAAATAATAGAAACTGCTTTATACAATTCATCGGAAGATGAAATAACAAATATAAAGCATGTAGCATAGTTCCTGACACAAAGTACATTCTCTACAATCAACCTGTTAGTGTCTTATTCTGATATTTCTATCTTTTCTAAAAGACTGTATTAACTGTTCAATACTGTCTTTTTTAAACAAGAGTAATTCATTTTTGCTATGGTTGTATGGGTTTCTCCCTGAACCTAGTTTTCTTACCCATGAGGATAATACCACTTGCCCTCTAATTTCAATGTATTCTAAAAACTGAATATACAAAAGTTACTAATAAAAATTTTAATCTGTGATTGATTATACTGAAATAATCTTGTCATGAATGCTGTGGATAAACAAAGGCATGTCAGATTCATCATATCATGACTCAAGTCCTGTTCCCAAATCTCTTCTAATGAATTCATTTTAATTCATTTTAATCATATAGTGACTCAGTATCTTCATGTGATAATGATTCATGGGTTTTAATTTGCCAAATGTTGCTTCTAGATTATTTGCAGAAATGTCTGTTGAGCTTTTTCTTAGGAAAGTCATGACTTAGCTAGAAGATAAGATGTTGGTTATTATTTTATTCCAACTTCAGCTAAATCATGTTTATTCCCAATTTGGACCATCTACTCATATAGCAATGATTAAATCAGAAGCAGTATGGTACAGCTGGCAGGGCATGGACTTCTGGGGTTTGAACACCAGTTCATGATGGGCTGAATTTTCATCATTTTACCTTTCTGAACCTACATCTGAGAAATGGGAATAAAACAATTACTTTTTAAAGGAGATGGTCTTAAAAAGAAGAGCTCCGTCCCCAGACACAGGGATGGTTCTCGAAGTGAGAATAATTTTACAATGGAGCAAAACAGCATCTACTTACAGTTCACAGATGCCAGCTCGACTGGGAATGAGAGGCACAAGCTGCAGCAAGAGTCTGACACCATTCTGCCATGCCTCTTCTCCCTCAAACTCCCAGTACAAGTAGTTACACTCATCAGATGAAATCTGGTAGAAAACATACGTGTCCTGAAAGTATAAATGCTGGTCCACTGTTGGAAACAAAAAAGGTGAGGATCAGTTTTCTAAAGTATATTATTTACAGAGTCATAAACCAAGTAATAAACTGAAAGGCCTACTAATTACTAGGGAGAAGCTAGGGATAGGAACATAATTAAGTCCATTCATGCTTACAATCACATTGAATGAAAAAGGACTTACTGACCAAGCTATTTTTATTATTTGAAACTTCAGTCAGCACATTCACATGGATTTTACAACACTTCTGCTTCAGGGACAGGTGAAATCAATAGCAATTCCAAGGAATTATAAGAGATTTCTTTCTTTTTTTTCCTTTAGTGTCCCAAAGCAGTACATTTAATTACTTAAATGGTATACAAATACAAAACTATGCCAAGTTTTAGATAGGGGATTCTCAACGAGGGGCAACTGTTTCCCTCCCTGAGGACATTTAACAATGTCTGGTGACATTCAGAGTTGCCACGATTAGGTGGTGCTACTGGCATCTGGAGGCTGGAAGAAAGGGATGCTACTAAACATCCTATCATGTACAAGACAGCCCCCTCCCATGCAACTAAGAATTATATGGCAGAAAATACCAACACTACCAAGGCTGGGATCAAGAAGTGGAGACACTTCCTAAAAATATTAACATAAAATGTTTTGCAAACCAGAAACCTGAGCCTCACAAGGAAGCTGATAATTATAATCCTCAAAGGCAGTTAACCGCTTTTCTAAATAAGAGCATCAGGTGCTAGGTGTGACCAACTAAGAGGACACCCACATGCCCATCTGTACCACTTTCCCACAGCAGGACTTGGTATGCCTTTAGGCAACTTATTTTGTTTTCTGACCCTCAATATGTATAACCTAGAGAAGAAAAGAGCTTCCTAGTGACCCAGCACCTGTGTGGTAGAGGTTAATAAAGAATCCAGGCTGCTTAACTTCTAATTCGTCAGTTCCCTGGACTCAACAAAGAAAATAGATATTCACCATCTATTTTAGTGTCTCTGCTAAGTCGCTTCAGTTGTGCCTGACTCTTTACAACCCCATGGACTATAGACTGCCAGGCTCCTCTGTCCATGAGATTCTCCATACAAGAATACTGGAGTGGGGTGCCATTTCCTTCTCCAATTTTAGTATCCAGTTAACATCGATTTTCTCTTCTATTAAACAGTTTATTTTCATAGATCATATTTCTAGCTGTTCATTCATATAGTCAGTTTCTAATGAGTATTCTAAGTACAGCAAGACAAATCACACATTTAGAGCAACTAAAGATGTCCACTGATCTTTTTAAAAAATTGTGAGCATCATTTTGAGCAGAGAAGAGATGGGATAAGGGAAAGACTCTTACAGGTTGTAGTTAATGAATCAGCAAGTATCAAAAGGTATGAGAAATAACAGAAGATGCCACTTTCATTTATAAGAGAACACAAATATTTACCAGCAAAAACAATTTCCATCTAGATTGTAATATCTAGAAAATCAAACACATTTTGGTCAGGCAGCTAAACAGCTTCAGCATTCTGTGCCTTCAGAACATATAGTACTAACCTGATGAAAGAATTCCCATGTCCAGTAGGAGCTGCCAGACCCCTATGGCCATAGATCTGCACTGGATGAAAGGACAGTGTTCTAGAAGCCAGTCTACCAGTTCTGACCCAATGCAGCTTCTCCTAGATAAAAGCAAAGCCATTCACAGTAAGACATGGTTGCCACCCATTTGTCAAAAGAAAAAAAATGAAATTTAATACCATCCCTTTCATGTGCCTTTTAGACAAGCAACTCAAGAATAAATCACATGTACTTCTTATTCATGTTTAAGATTTCAGCTCAAATATCACTTCCTTACAGAAGCTTATCCTCTTATACTTTTTTTTAATGCCACCTAACATTTAACAATTATACATCTTTCCAAATGAATAATACCTGCTTTCTTCCCTTGAGAGTAATTTTCAGGACAACAGGGATTATGTATATGTAACTCATGATGAAACCTCAACATTAGAACAGTCCAGGCACAGAGCAAGATCTCTGAATACATTCAGTTCAGTTCAGTTCAGTTCAGTCATTCAGTTGTGTTGGACTCTTTGCAACCCCATGAATCGCAGCATGCTAGGCCTCCCTGTCCAGCACCAACTCCCAGAGTTTACTCAAACTCATGTCCATTGAGTCTCTGATGCCATTCAACCACCTCATCCTCTGTCGTCCCCTTCTCCTCCTATCCTCAGTCTTTCCCAGCATCAGGGTCTTATCAAATGAGTCAGCTCTTCGCATCAGGTGGCCAAAATATTGGAGCTTCAGCTTCAACATCAGTCCTTGCAATGAACACCCAGGACTTATCTCCTTTAGGATGGACTGATTGGATCTCCTTGCAGTCCAAGGGACTCTCAAGAGTCTTCTCCAACACCACAGTTCAAAAGCATCAATCCTTCAGTGGTCAGCTCTCTTTATAGTCCAACTCACATCCATACATGACTACTGGAAAAACCATAGCCTTTACTAGACGGACCTTTGTTGACAAAGTAATGTCTCTGCTTTTTAATATGCTGTCTAGGTTGGTCATAACTTTCCTTCCAAGGAGTAAGCGTCTTTTAATTTCATGGCTGTAACCACCATCTGCAGTGATTTTGGAGCCCCCCAAAATAAAGTCTTGACACTGTTTCCACTTTTTCCCCATCTATTTGCCATGAAGTGATGGGATCAGATGCCATGGTCTTAGTTTTCTGAATGTTGAGCTTTAAGCCAACTTTTTCTCTCTCCTCTTTCACTTTCATCAAGAGGCTCTTTAGTTCTTCTTCACTTTCTGCCATAAGGGTGGTGTCATCTTCATATCTGAGGTTAGTGCTATTTCTCCCTGCAATCTTGATTCCAGCTTGTGCTTCATCCAGCCCAGCCTTTCTCATGATGTGCTCTGCATATAAGTTAAATAAGCAGGGTGGCAATATACAGCCTTGACATATTCCTTTTCCTATTTGGAACCAGTCTGTTGTTCCATGTCCAGTTATAATGGTTGCTTTCTGACCTGCATACAGGTTTCTCAAAAGTCAGGTCAGCTGGTCTAGTATTCCCATCTCTTTCAGAATTTTCCACAGTTTATTGTGATCCACATATGGTCAATAAAGCAGAAATAGATGCTTTTCTGGAACTCTCTTGCTTTTTCGATGATCCAGCGAATGTTGGAAATTTGATCTCTGGTTCCTCTGTCTTTTCTAAAATCAGCTTGAACATCTGGAATTTTACGGTTCACATATTGCTGAAGCTTGGCTTAGAGAATTTTGAGCAATACTTTACTAGTGTGTGAGATGAGTGCAATTGTGCGGTAGTTTGAGCATTCTTTGGCATTGCCTTTCTTTGGGATTGGAGTGAAAACTGACCTTTTCCAGTCCTGTGGCCATTGCTGAGTTTTCCAAATGTGCTGGTATTTTGAGTGCAGCACTTTCACAGCATCATCTTTCAGGATTTGAAATAGCTCAACTGGAATTCCATCACCTCCATTAGCTTTGTTCATAGTGATGCTTCCTAAGGCCCACTTGACTTCACATTCCTGGCTGTCTGGCTCTAGGTGAGTGATCACACCATCGTGATTATCTGGGTCATGAAGATCTTTTTTGTACAGTCCTTCTGTGTATTCTTGCCACCTCTTCTTAATATCTTCTGCTTCTGTTAGGTCCATACCATTTCTGTCTTTTATTGAGCCCACTTTTGCATGAAATGTTCCCTTGGTATCTCTAATTTTCTTGAAGAGATCTCTAGTCTTTCCCATTCTATTGTTTTCTTCTATTCCTTTGCACTGATCACTGAGGAAGGATTTCTTATCTCTCCTGGCTATTCTTTGGAACTCTGCATTCAAATGCAAATATCTTTCCTTTTCTCCTTTCGCTTCTCTTCTTTCACAGCTATTTGTAAGGCCTCCTCAGACAGCCATTTTGCTTTTTTGCATTTCTTTTTCTTGGGGATGGTCTTGATCCCCGTCACCTGTACAATGTCACGAACCTCCATCCATAGTTCATCAGGCACTCTGTCTATCAGATCTAGTCCCTTCAATCTACTCCTCACTTCTACTGTATAGTCATAAGGGATTTGATTTAGGTCATACCTGAATGGTCTAGTGGTTTTCTCCACTTTCTTCAATTTCAGTCTGAATTTGGCAATAAGGAGTTCATGATCCGAGCCACAGTCAGCTCCAGGTCTTGTTTTTGCTAACTATATAGAGCTTCTCCATCTTTGGCTGCAAAGAATATAATCAAGCTGATTTTGGTGTCGACCACCTGGTGATGTCCGTGTGTAGAGTCTTCTCTTATGTTGTTGAAAGAGAGTGTTTGCTATGACCAGCTCATTCTCTTGGCAGAACTCTATTAGCCTTTGCCCTGCTTCATTCTGTACTCCAAGGCCAGATTTGCCTGTTACTCCAGGTGTTTCTTGACTTCCTACTGTTGCATTCCAGTCCCCTATAATGAAAAGAACATCTTTTTTGGGTGTTAGTTCTAGAAGTTCTTGTAGGTCTTCATAGAACTGTTCAACTTCAGCTTCTTTGGTGTTACTGATCAGGGCATAGACTTGAATTACCATGATATTGAATGGTTTGCCTTGGAAACGAATAGAGATCATTCTGTCGTTTTTGCGATTGCATCCAAGTACTGCATTTCGGACTCATCTGTTGACTATGATGACTACTCCATTTCTTCTAAGGGATTCCTGCCCACAGTAGTAGCTATAATGGTCATCTGAGTTAAATTCACCCATTCCAGTCCATCTTAATTCACTGATTCCTAGAATGTCAGTGTTCATTCTTGCCATCTCCTGTTAGACCACTTCCAATTTGCCTTGATTCATGGACCTAACATTCCAGGTTCCTATACAATATTGCTCTTTACAGCATCGAATCTTGCTTCTATCACCAGTCCCATTCACAACTGGGTGTTGTTTTTGCTTTAGCTCCATCCCTTCATTTTTTCTGGAGTTATTTCTCCACTGATCTCCAGTAGCATATTGGGCACCTACTGATCTGGGGAGTTCATCTTTCAGTGTCCTATCTTTTTGCCTTTTCATACTGTTCATGGGGTTCTCAAGGCAAGAATACTGAAGTGGTTTGCTATTCCCTTCTCCAGTGGACCACATTCTGTCAGAACTCTCCACCATGACCTGACCATCTTGGGTGGCCCCACATAGCATGGCTTAGTTTCATTGAGTTAGACAAGGCTGTGGTCCATATGATCAGATTGGCTAGCTGTCTGTGACTGTATTTTCAGTCTGTCTTCCCCCTGATCCCCTCTTTCTGTGCCTACCATCTTAACTGGGTTTCTCTTACCTTGGATGCAGGGTCTCTCTTCACAGTTGCTCCAGCAAAGCACAAATCTGATTTCGGTGTTGACCAAACTGGGGTCAGCTGCATTGCAGGTAGATTCTTTACCAGCTGAGCTACCAGGGAAGCTTCTGAATATATACATTTGAATAAACAAAGGAATAAATTTAGCAGTCCTTTATTTAAATGTTTTTGCCTTGATAAGACAAGTGGTGATTAACTTTGGTGCAACCATTTACACATTTTTGTCTCATTTCTTTGAGAACAAAATAATTCCAAGATTAGACCAAGTTACACCACAATGAAGGGTATAATGTTTTGTTTTCTACTCTTCAAACAGAGATTAAGCCTAATATTTGTCTCAACAATAAATTTGACTGTTAATATAGTATAAGCAACCCACCAAGCAGCCAGCATCATAAACCCACAAACCTGGATGACAGATTCTGCTAACCACCTTAAGAAATACTTTCTGGAAAAAAAAAAAAAGAAATACTTTCTGTAATTCATCTTAAAACATACAGCTGAATTCAAAGAATGCCCTAATCTGGGTATTATAAGCAGTATTTTCATGCCTACCTTTCCATCTTTATCAGCCTCAGATGAAAAATCAAATGATGAAAACTTTCTGAAATAAGGTTCTTCAATTTGCATAAACTTCATTGAAACCCATTCTCCCATATGAAAAAAGTCACACCAAAATGTTTTTTAATCACTTGTATCATGTGAATGACTATTTTTCTCCTATATTTTTTATTTAAGGACCAAAAGATGCCATAATTTGTTTGTATTTCTAGAACAGAAAAATATTGCCTATCTTTTATGACTGGCATAATCACAAATATCTAGAAATGACCCAGTAACCAACAGAATGAAGAAATGCCATGAGATGCTTTATTTTCATGGATGATGGAAAAATAAGGTAGTAAACATTTCTGCTGAGATATCTGAACAACTATTCTAGCTTTAGTTAAAATATTACTTTCTTGGGTAAAGATTTAAAAAGATTTAAAAGATACTCTGAGGTCATTAAGGCAATTCTAAGTTGTACCAACTGTACAATTCCAGTTGCAGGTTAGCAGTAAGACAAAAGAGAAATTAAGAATCAAATAACTGGATTTTTTTTAAACAACACAAGAAAACAGATTGTAACAAAACAGGCAATTAGACCAAACCATCAATATTAACTTCTAATTCTATGGGACAACTTTCATTAGTAAATGCTCAAAGTGTTAATACCTCAAAAACTCCATCAATTAGCCAGCATTTTTGGGCTTGTAAAGCACTTTTATCATATTAAT